AAAAAAAAAAAAAAAAAAAAAAAATTAGCTGGGCATTGGCAGTGCATGTCTGTAGTCCCAGTCCCAGCTCCTCAGGAGACTGTGGTGGGAGGATGGCTCCAGCCCAGGAGTTCCAAGTTGCAGCGAGCTATGATGACACCACTGCACTCTCGAGCCTGGGTGACACCGTGAGACTCTGCTTAAAAAAAAAAAAAAAAAAAAAAAATCCTTAGGTAAGGTCTTGGTTTGTGTGCAGGGCAAGTGCAGCTAGAAGCTATCAAACCTTCCGGCTCCCTGGACCTGACCTTCCACAGCTCCCTCTCCGCATGTACTTGTCTGTGGGGGGTCCTATGTTGATCAGGACTGAATTCAAAGTTGGTCTGCCATGAACTGGAAGATGCTTGAACACTCACCCCTGCTACTATAATATCTTGGCAGAGAAACCATTAATTCTCTTTCTGGCATTTGCTGGAGTTGAAATATACCAAAGGGAAAGGGAAATTAGAAGCCGAAGAGAAGCAGCAGGTGAGAAGGAGATAACTGAAGAGTAATCCAGGGTTTTCTGCTGAGCATTTCATACACAGCTGCTGTCCTGACAACTCTATGAGGTACCTTCCAATTGAAAGAACGGCTCACGCGGTATGTGGTGAAGAGCAGAACCAGAAACTGATCCCAGGTCAAATGCACTCAACCACAGTGAGCTGCACTGCCTTCCTGAACTCTTCATGTAAATGTCAGTCTAAGTGGACTGCAGCTGAGAAGACAATTATCCAAAAATGTGTCCGAGGATACATTCCCAATCTATACCTTTAACTTAAAACAATGTGTTTTTTAATTATTATTATTATATTTTTAGACAGGGTCTCACAATGTCACCCAGGCTGGAATGCAGTGGTGCAATCCCAGCTCACTGCAACCTCAACCTCCTGGGCTCAAATGATCCTTCTGCCTCAGCCTCCCAACTAGCTGAGACTACAGATGCCCACCACCATGCCAGGCTTTTTGAATTTTCAGTAGAGAAAAGGTTTCACCATGTTGGCCAGGCTGGTCTCAAACTCCTGGGCTTAGGCAATCTGCTGGCCTCAGCCTCCCAAAGGTGTGAACTGAAATTTTTTATTTCAGTTATTTACTCCCCCTACTGCCTGACTTCTGGAAACTTGTTGAATCTTCTTTTTCCCAGAGATCTAAAATATCACAAACACGTGCCTTCATACGAGTGTGTTTACTCCCAGTACACTGGGCACCTGGTACGTTCTCGCAAATAAGGAAAATTCATGTAAATTTTAGAAGACTCCACCCCCTTTTTACATAGGTATTTTAGTAAACAAAATACACTTTTTTTTTTTTTTTTTTTTTTTTTTTTTTTGAGACAGAATCTGGCTCAGTTGCTCAGGCTGGAGTGCAGTGGTTCGTTCTCACAATGTCACCAGGGGTGGAATGCAGTGGTGCAATCCCAGCTCACTGCAACCTCCGCCTGCTGGGTTCAAGCAATTCTGGTGTCTCAACCTCCCAAGCAGCTGGGATTATAGGCAGACACCACCATGTCTGCCTAATTTTGTATTATTCATAGAGACAGGGTTTCATCATGTTGGATGGGCTGGCCTTGAATTCCTGACCTCAAGTGATCTCCCCACCTCAGCCTCCCAAAGTGCTGTGATTACAGGTGTGAGCCACCTCACCCAGCCAAAATGAAATAAGGGTTCTTTTAAAAGTTTATAAACATGCACATTGTTGGCTGGGTGTGGTGGTTCACACCTGTAATCACAGCACTTTGGGAGGATTGCTTGAGCCTAGGAGTTCCAGATCAGCTGGGCAACAGAGACCCTTTCCCTAGAAAAAAATTAAAAATTTTCCAAGTGTGGTTGTGCATGCCTGTGGTCCCAACTACCTGGGAGGCTGAGATGGGAAGATCGCTTGAACCAGAGAGGTCAAGGTGGCTGTGTGCGGTGATGGTGCCACTGCACCCCAGCCTGGGAGACAGAGAAAAATCCTGTCTCAAAACAAACAAGAAAAGGTGCATAATTAACTGTCAAAAATTAAAACTATAGTAGTAATGAGGGTGATTTTGTTTACATGTTTCCCCATCTTTTTCAAAAAACCTAGTGAAATCTAAAAGGCTTCATGCTAACATGTCAACAGTGATTATTTCTAGTAATGGGATGGTGGGCCATTTACATTTCTTCTTTCACTTTTGTATTTCCTGAAAAAGTGCGGCACACAGAGCATATTGATCATAAATCAGAAAAAAAAAAAAAAAAAAAAAAAAAAAAAGGCGTTTTACTTCATGCCTGGTCCAAACCTACCCCAAGGTAGAAGTCCCGGCTCCGTCATTTTAGTTTTGTTTGCTCTGCTGAAGCAGAGAGGCCTGCCAACTCCTTCCTTCGCACAGCAAATATTTGTTGAACTCCTAAAAGCCAGGCCCTGCAAGGTGATTTTAATACCTGAGCCTTTTGAGTCTCCTGAATTCCTTAATACCCACTGAGAGAACCAGCTGGGAGAGGAGCTGAGCCAACACTTCTCATATCTCATACCACTATGGTCACCTGGGGCTTGATAGAGCCGGTCCGGGTGGGGTCTGTGGCTGGGGGAGCGAGCAAGCTATTTGAGGTACACAGAATTTACTTCAGGTTTCTCAAAGGAACTGCCCAGGTCTTCAGTCACCTCTGCGCCATGATGGCGTGCCCATTCTCTAACTCCCACATAGGCTGGATTTCAGTTCCCATACATTTAAACAAAAGTCTGAGACGTGGCGGAAGGGCACTGCTGGGGCGGCTCTCAGCTGTTCCCGGTTAGGAGCAGTGCCCTGCAGAAAGGCAGGCCTGGGTTTGAATCCCAGCTTCACCATCCACTGGTGTAATTTACTTCCCCTCTCTAGGCCTTCACAGGGGACGGGGTCGTGTGGATTACACGAGGGTACGAGGACATCTCAAGGGCTTGACAAGACCCTGGTACACGAAGAAGACTCAAACAGTGACCACCTCTAGCTGCTGACAGGGCGCCAGTCCTTTCTCAGCCTTGAAGGACTGGCTGGGATTTCTGGGGAGATCACTTGAGTTTCCAGCCTCCATGCCCTCCAAAGGAGAGAAGAACGCCTATGCCCCACCTCCTTCCCAGGAATGTTCTGAATCTAAGCCAGGATGTGCACAGCACCAGGCAGAAGACCTCTTTGGTCCTGAAATAGGTGGCAGCACTCAGATTTTATTCGGCAAAATTTTCCTGACTCACCTCAACGTGACTACCAAGGAGATAATCAGAAAAAGAAAGAAGCCCGTTCCTCTTCCCCTGATCTTAGGAAAGCTTTATTTTGAGGGAGGAGGCCATCCACGTGGAGATCAGGTGAGAGAGGCACCAGGTGTCCCTGACGCTCAACACAAACTCAACAGCCACTAAGCAAAGCATCCTGCTCCCAGAATCTGCCGCCGCCACCGAGGGGGCGCAACAAGCTGAATTTCTCCCCCAGCAAGACATCCTGAGGATCACCACCCTTTCTTCCCAGGAGAGCCCGAGTTTCTTGGACCTCCTGAGTTTTGCACTTTGGGAAGAAGGCGAGGCTGAGCAAAAACGGTTCCCTGAAGCCCGCGAGAGGATCTGAGCAGACTCGATCCGGAGAAACACGGCGGAAGCACGCGCCGGGGTCCAGCTGAGCCCCCGCCACCCCCAGCCCGCCGGCACTCACGATCTCGGCCACGATGAGGAGGCCCGGCAGGGTGCGGAGGAACTCCCGGTCGTAGGCGAAGCTGCTGCTGCTGGTGGAGAAGTTCTCTGCGAAGGAGCTGGCGGTGGTGGTGACAGTGTGCGAGCGGGGGCGCTGCGGATCCTCCATCGTAGCGCCACGGCCTGGCTGGCGCGTCCCCTGGGACCCCCGGCGCGTCTGGGGCTGGACGCGCGGCCCTGCGCCCCCGGGACACCGGCGCGGGGGAGGGGAGCGCGGCCGGCGCGGGGCAGGGGGCGCGCTGGGGGCGCCCGCCGGGGGTCGTCCAGGCGCGGCGCGTGTCCCTCGAGTGCGGGACGCCCCTAGCGCCTCTGTGCGCGGACTCCCGGGCTGCGCTGGGGCCCTGGAGGAAGAGGAGAGGAGCGAGGGGAGGCTGCGGGGCCGCTGATGGACGCCCGGAGGAGGGGAGGGGGCGTGGAGAGGGGCGGGCGGGAGGCGGGCAGGAGAGGGACCGCCCCGCGGAGGCACCGCGGACGCCCAGCCTCTTCACCTGTTTCCCGTCTCCCAGAGACCAAGAAGGCGCCGCGTCGCGCCCAGGGTGGCTGGACTGGCAGCCCAGCGGGCGGCGCGGAGGAGAGGGCGCAGGGGTCCTCCTGGCGGCCTTCGGCTCCCGCTCCCGACCTTTGCCTCCGTCAGGCCCCGCCTGGCTCAGGCCCGCAGCCGCCACTGACCTGTTTCCTTCCACCTGGGCGTGCCGGGGGCAGCGGGCATTGGAGCCCCTTAAGGAAATCCCGGCATCCGGGGGCCCCCGCTGCTCCAGGACTCGGCGCGTAGGGAAGGACTGAGCGGGGACCTAGGCTGGGCGTGGCGTGGGGCCTCGGATGTTGGGGAAACGGCAGGAATGATGACCCGGCCGGACCTTAGACCCGAGATCGATGAGAGGCCGCCAGCACTGTCGGGAGACGGCCCGCGCTTCTTCCCTTCCTGCTGCGGCCGCCACCGGAGCGCGGTGTTATTTCCTGCCCCTCCTGTCGGGAACAATTTGAGGAACCAACTTAATCGCTTGGCTTTGAGGGCGCGACGCTCCCTGGAGCTCTGCGCGGCTCTGTCCCGCGGACCCGTGGAGCCTGGGTGACAGCGCCGGGGTCGGAGGAGGGGAGACGTTTGGGGTCCCCGGCCAAGATGAATCAGCGTGACCGTCTCGTCACCCTTGGGAAAATAAATGTTTCAAGAAGGTTGAGAACTGTGGTTTGTGTAAGTTTAACTTTAGGACCAACAAGCTGTGCTGTCCTGGCATGGGAAGGGGACGGGGGTCCTCGAGCGCGGGTGCCTGCGTTTATCCGCTGTTTGATCCAGGGCGAATGACTACTTTTTGGGCCTCAGTAATGCCGTCGTAAAATGCAGGCTTTGACAGATGGAGCTCTGAGCAAAAGGATTATCTTCCGCTTGATCCCTCCCTCTATTTTGTGAAAGGGTGGCGAGAAACATTTTAACTGAAAGCCACCAAAAGAAAAGGAAATAATCTTTGGCTATAAATCAAGGGTAACTTTGGATTCGCAGTGAAGGTATTCCTGCTGATCTGTTCCAAAACAGATTAAAAAAGAGATCAGAAGGGACATTTTATTCACAGTGTCTTACCAAGTGTGCCGAGAAGAAAGCAAAAACTACAATCTAATAAAATAAATCAAGGAAATAGTGTCTTTTAAGTATAGGGCCTAGCCAGGAAGACCCCCGGGTAAAGCTTGGCCAAGATGAAGATATGGGGAAATTCCATCCATCCGTATGCATTTGGTAAGCACCCTGGGCTGGTTGGTAAATTTAAAAAATTTAAAATATATCACTTTCTCCTGAAGCAGTAGTTCTCAAAGTGGTTCTTGGACCAACAGCAGGCAAGTTCCCTGGGAACCTGTCAGAAAATGCAAGTTCTCAAGCCCCACCCCCAGACTCACTGAATCAGGAACTCTGAGGGTGCAGCCAGGAAGCTGTGATTGAACAAGCCCTCCAAAAGACCCTGATGCCTGCTGAAGTTAGCTGCTGCTTTAGAGAAACTGCTAATGAGTTTGGGGAAATAAGAGATACATACATGAAATGGCTGGAGGGGACTCGAGCTTCATGCATGACATTTAGTGAATACAAAAGACAGAAAAGGAGTCTAGACAACTCTATTTCCATAATACAAAGGACAATCCTCTCTTAAAACTCTTGTGGTCAAATGGATTTCTAAATTCAGATTTTTTTTTAATTTAGAAAGGTAAAATGTACATATATCACATATTACATAATACCTTCAATGAGGTGTGCAGTGACACTCTAATAAAATACACTAATTTTCTGCAAGGAAAATTACATGAATGATGTAAGTATATACTTGGATTATCTATTGCAATGTATCAAATGTTGACAAAAACATTAATAACTTAAAAAAACATTTGCTCAGGAATTTAGGAAGGGCTTGGCTGGCAAGTTCTTCTGCTTTGCTTGGTGTAAGTGGAGTCATTTACTCAGCTGATTTCAGTTGGTGACTTGGCAGGGCTAGAAGGTCCAAAAAGTCTTCATTCCCATTTGTGCATTTCAGTGCTCTTTCAACTTGCCTCTTTCTCTGTGCAACTTGGGCTTTCTAACAGCATGAGACGCTCATAGTGGTTGGACGTCTACCTGGCACCTGGCTACTGGAAGAGACTTTCTAAGAAGGGCAAATGCAGAAGCAGATCTTTTAAGGCCCGGCCCTGAAGGCTACACAGACTCATTTCCACCACATTTTATTGGTCTAAGCTAATGAATGACAAGGCCAGTCAGATTCACACATAAGGGAAACAGATACCACCTGTGGATGGGAGGAGCAATAAAGAAATGTGGCTGTCTTTTAATCTAAGTGAGATAAACACAAAGACAATAAATAGCTTCGTATCAGTTTAGGTTAGGTTTTTCTACCAAATATGTTTTCTGCAAGATCAGGAAAAAATTTTTGGGTTTTGGCTTTTGGGATTTTAGAATTTCAGAGAAAAAAATTATACACTGGTTGTTTGCAAACTAGCTGCCCCTTTCCAACTGCTGCCTACATTTGGGTGATTGTCTTCCACCTGAAACTCTGATTGGTGCCCATTCTTCCAATAATACCCTTATCCAGCCTACATTCCATCTTCTTTTTATTTATTATTATTATTATTATTATTTTTAAGACGGGGTTTCACCATGTTGGTCAGGCTGGTCATGAACTCCCAACCTCAGGTGATCTGCCCGCCTTGGCCTCCAAACTGCTTGGATTACAGGCGTGAGCCACCACGCCCAGCCACCTTCCATCTTCTTGCAAGAATTATTGTCCTGAAACCCCAGACTAAGGTACCACTGTGCACAGCATAAGGGCCTATATAAGATATTTCAGCCTATCTCTTCTGATCCCTTTCTCAACCACTCTAGAATGCATTCTATTTCAGCCCCAGATACATTTTGCATATATCTCTGTGTGACCCCTTTATGCCCATAGTCAGCTTTTCTTTTAGCCTGCAAGGCCTCCTACCATCACACAGAGCTCAGAATCTGCAGTCTTCATGGGCCATTTTAAATGCCACCTTTTCTGTGATTTCTTTGGATTTCCATGAGCATTGTTCTTTTTGTTTTAGAATTCGTTGATTTTATGCACTTCTTTTTACTACCTCTCAAGAGATATGAATTACCCTTCCTTGTCTGCCACCTGCCATAGGAGGTATTGAATGAATGCTGAGGCTCAAACCTTTTATTTATTTATTTAGAGACAGGGTCTTGTTCTGTCACCCAGGTTGGAGTGCAGTGGCACAATCACAGCTCACTCTCGCCTTGACCTCCTATGCTTAAGCGATCCTCCCCACTCAGCCACCTGATTAGCTGGGACTGCAGGCGATCACCACCACATCCAGCTAATTCGTTTCTTTTTTTTTTTTTTTTTGGAGAGATGAGGTCTCACTTTGTTGCCCAGGCTGGTCTCAAATTCCTAAACTCAAGTGTTTCTCCCACCTCAGCCTCCCAAATTGCTGGGATTACAGGTGTGAGCTACCATGCTGGTTCCAAACTTGATTCTTAAATGCAGAAAAATGTCAAAAGAAAAGCTAAGTCCTGTGCCCCCATAATGACTTAATGCAGAAGACAGCTTCCAGCTGAGACTTGTGGGAAGTACTTGATTTGTAAGAAGTGAGAAGAAAATGAAATCAGGTTCAGCCCAAGTGATACCACATGTGCCAGGACTACCAGGTACTGTGTAAATAGGCACAGAGAAATCTAAGCTCTGTTAGCATGGAGTGTAGCATTGAGGGTTTATGCAGAGTCTAAAATATGGCTGCCACAAGGCCATATTACCCAACCAGCCAAAGTTATGAGACACAACACTCTTAAGGGTCTGTAGGGCCCAGGCCATTCAGGGGAAGCCCAGGACTCATCAATAATTTAAAGAAATAAATAGCATATGATTTCTACCTGCTATCTGAGAAAGAGGGCCAAAGGATATTCCCATTTTTTAGGCAATTTTCACAGGTTTCTTCATGTTTCTCTTCACTGTTATTCTAGTTTAAAATTTGCCGGGCGCAGGGCTCATGCCTGTAATCCCAGCACTTTGGGAGGCCAAGGCCGGTGGATCACGAGGTCAAGAGATCGAGACCATCCTGGTCAACACAGTGAAACCCTGTCTCTACTAAAAATACAAAAAAATCAGCTGGGCATGGTGGCGCATGCCTGTAATCCCAGCTACTCAGGAGGCTGAGGCAGGAAAATTGCCTGAACCCAGGAGGCGGAGGTTGTGGTGAGCCGAGATCACGCCGTTGCACTCCAGCCTGGGTAACAAGAGTGAAACTCCATCTCAAAAAAAAAAAAAAAATTATGGTTGGTTCATGCAAGAATCATCAATGGATGTTAAAATTAGTGGGTGAAAGTGTGATGAGAAAAAGAACATTTACATTATCTTTTAAAAAATAGAAGTAACAAAATAACAAAGATATTTACATCGTCTCAAAGTCTGTCTTCAAAAGATACTCTTCTGTCTTTGAAATTCATAGCTGTACAGTGGAGAAACCTTTGGATATCACTAGACATTATCTCCTAATATGATGCAGTGAGAAGGATACATCACTTCTGTGATTTGCTTTCCAAATGCATAACCTGAATTTAATCATGAAGAGGGAGCGGACAGACTGAAATTAAGGGACAGTTTATTAAGTGTCAAGTTCACGAAAGACAAACACTGAGGAACTGTTCTATACTGAAAGAGACTAAGGAGACCTGACAGTAAAACGCAATGTGAAATCCTGGATTAGAGCCTCGGCTGGAAGAAGAACAAGGGTGGGACAACTGGTGAAATCAGAATAAATTGTGTAGATCAGATAAACATTGTATCAGTGTTACATTGATACAATAATCACATTGTATCTGTTATATACATTGTATACAATGATAACATTGTATTAGTGTTAATTTTGGGATTTTGATCTTATACT